AGCCCCTGTAACCATGACAGATACACAAACCAAGAGGCTTCCTTCAAATGCAAACTGGAAGAGCTGGTGAGAAAAAAAGCTGGTGGCCTCCACTTTAAATGTTTAGTCTTACCTTTGTACACGTGCCCATGTGCAAACGTAATGAAAAGGTGGCTCAGTTAGATATGCTCAAATGTTGTATGGTAAATAACAAGGTAACCTTTATCCTTTGATATCTTTTGAATCATGTGTTTGTTTTTTTTTTTTTATTCCTGGAAATTACCTATTTCAGTAAACCCTTTAGGAAATGGAGGTAGCAGATTGACAAAATATGTTTGATCACGTGCTTTTCATGATACTACACCATATTAAATAGCATAGTTTAAATCTACTAGATTAAATCTACACCTAATCACATTAAATTGAGTAAATTGAATGAACCTGCTGGAAATCTTTAAAGGCAGTAAAATCTTTGATGAAGAGAACGGCAGACAATTTCTCTGAAGTTTCTTAAAACTAGTTGTGGAGAGACATAAATATGGACACTGAAAAACTACAGGTTGTAACTGACTTGCTGAGAGTTCAAGCCATGCACCCATCACAGTTACTTCTGGCTTTTCTGACAACATACTGGATACCCACATATATTTCACTTTATTGTCAAGTCTTGTAGCTATAATTTTAGATATTCAGCTTTTGTTTAGTTGAGCAGTCTGAGAATGTACTTTTTCAAAGTACATTTTCAAAATACTAATTTGTTTAAGTACATTGTCATAAATCACTTTGGCACGTAGCTTTGGAAAGTTAGCCTTTTACATAAAGTTCTGAAGACACGGCTTAGGTAAACTTCCAATTTACAGAGGTGATCTTCACGTTAAATTTGTGCTAGTTACATAGTCTGTGTTCTGGTATATGCATGATGTTAGGGAAATCCTTCATCTGTCCTGATTGCATTATCAAAGTGAGACCTACTGTGCAAAATTCTCTCCTGCCAAAAAAGTTCCCTCACAGACTTTTCTTCAGTAGAGTGCTTACTTTAAAATTACTGTTCAAGGAGGTCCATGTCATTCTATGATTGCTGTGGCCTCATTTAAAGAGAGTGTTTAAGTATGAGAAATAAAAACTGAGAACTTTGCTAACAGTGTGCAAGCTTTCCTTTCTCTTCTACTTTTAAACATGTTTGATATCTTACTGTCTACGACAATTTTTTACCAGTTTCTGGTATTTCTTCTTCTTTAAAGTCTAGGAAAGCTCCATGGTTGATAAAGACACACACCTGATGCTTTGGAGAGTTTCCCCAAAGAGCTGTAAATATGAGAAAACTAATTTAAGTCAAATTTTCAGTCCTACCACTGCAAGATTATGCAATGGCAGATTAGAGTATTTGAGTTAAAAGAAGCACATTTAACAGGGGTGCTCTGAGATTCAGTGCTTTGCAGAGGACTTTGATAGTAGTAACAATTCAGACAGTAAGTGTTTACTATGTAGTTTCTGCTCTACAAAATATTTTATGTTAATAAAAGGAACTGTATGCAGTATTGCACGTGTCAAGTAGCAAGATACTCTGTATAGTAACTGAATGCTGTCTTCACATAGCACCTTCAAACAAAATCAAGCCCACTGCAGGTATGGAATTTGTTATCTAGAAAACTTCTTTTGCAGTTAAAATGTGTTTCTTTGGAGTCTAATGAGGGATGTATTCCTACTGGCTATGTTTAATCTGTGAATGTACAAGTATTAAGAAAAATGCATCACATCTGTGAAACTAAGATACTTAGATTTGAGTATCTGTTCAAAGCTTGAGAAATTACATATCCCTACACAGTTGAAGTATATTCCCAAAGGTCTTTCTGCATTGGGTTTCTTTTCTGAGGATACTGACTCAATTAATCAACAACTGATACTTGCTGTGTTTGAAAAATATATGCATATATTTATAAAATAAAAAAGTCATCCAAATGGTCCTACTGAAATTCATTCAAGTCCAGTGGTGGTAGGTTGTAATCCTAGAGTCTGAAAAATATTTTTCATAATATGAAGCATGTGCACATTTTGCTTTGCTGTAGTAATGTTACGAAGTAACTGTTTCAAATTAGTCTTGAACATATATATATATATATATATATATGTATATATGTATATATATTTCATATAAACTGTCTGTGTATTAACAAATACACAGTAGTTCCAGAGTTTGTTTTGGGGGCTTTTTTACTTCGTGTCTATACCAGTAGTAGAAAGTTGCCGTTCCTCAGTTCATACTGTAAATACTTTTATTTCTTCCTTTACAACCTTTTAGTGTGACAACAGAAGATATATGTATCACTTATTAAGATTGGAAGCACCTTTGTGGTATTGATGGCTAACTGGTTCTCCATAGTTGCAGGTGCTGAGATAACCAGAATGTGATAAAAGGAAAATCTCAAGCCACCCACATAGATATTTGCTGTGGTCTGTATCTTGAGCCTTGATTTCTAAACTAGACTGAAATAGGATGTTCTGAAATGTGCATAAATGCTTACAAGGCTATTTAAAGTATCCTACTCAGCAAAGTCTGTGTAGGATGCTGCCTTTCTTTTAAGAAGAGAGCAAAGAAGATTGAAATGATAGATGATCCAGACTAATACAGAAAGTCATGCGCTATGGTGGGCTAAAACTCTCAGTCACAAAGTACCTTCCAGTAAGAGACATATCCCAGGGCAAGGTGAGCTACTCATGCAGGATGGTGTAGACCAGGATCAGTAGGAGCTCAGCACTGTTTTATGGGTCCCTAGTGAAGACTTTTCTTCCTGGATTTGAGGAAGTCATCCCTCTTCCCTGAGACCTGGCTGGAATACTTATCATCTTCATCTACAGTAACTATGCCTTGGTAGATCTTTCAGAGCACCTTCCTGCCCTCTCAGTGAGGTTTTAACTAAAAACACATGCACAACTCAAATTTGCTATGTTTGACTAGAAATATCCCAAGAGTCTTCAAATACAGCTGGCTGTATGTAGGATAAAGAAGGTGGGAAAAGTTTGAAAGTTGGCTCCTCTGCAATATGGAATAGTAAAAGGCAATTCCAACAAAACCTGGAAGTTGTCATCATTCTGGAAGTGAATATGCGTTTAATAAGATTTCTTTCCAAATATTTGCAGCTAAGCAGAAGCTTGTGCAGAATAGTCTGCCATTCTTTCCACTGCTAACTGCATCTGTCCGTATAAATATCAAGAGCAGTTGCTTTGGTATCAATACTGTATTGCTGTAGTATATGAAGAATTTAAGTGAGCTATTAATTTATAACTGAAATACTTTTATCTTTCTAGCTTTAAAAACTTGATAGGAATGAAAAATGAGTCTCTCATGAAACTGCAAGGGCTGTCATGTGTATTGTATAATTGTATATGGGCTTAAAGTGTTTGAATAGGCATTAAAACTATTTCTAAGGACATTTATTTACCTGGTTGTGGGAAAAGTAAATATAATGGAAAAGTAGGTGCAAAGCTGAAAAGCGAGGCACTCTGCCTATAAGCAGCAGTTTGTTCTTAATGCACACAGTGCATTATGTTTGGAAAACATACAGGCTTTCACTTCAGGCTTATAGCACTTTATGGTGTCTAACACATAATGAAAACACTTTTTTTAATGACTCAAAACAGTTTTTCTTTTATTGGAAGGCTCCAGAAAACTGTTTTTTATAGTCGTTTATCTTGGGAAGATACCGTGTACCTTAATCTGAGATTTCAAGGGTAACATTTTTTTTTTTCCTCGATATTTTATTTGTGGTTTACTGTTAAGCAGGTAAAGATAACTTAAATGTAGAAAGAAAAAAATATTACTTAAAATTGTATTTTGAACAGTGTATGAATAAACCTGAATTAAGAGATAGATGTTTTATACATTTTTATCTGGAAAACGATGAGTGAGGCTGGCAACTTGTTACAGGCATTGATGCAGTAGATGCTGATTTAAGCGGACATCATGCAAATTGTTTGTTATTTGGGAACTAGTTGAACTATTGGGAAGGACTCTGGGAAAAATCGTGTTTTGACCTCTGCCTCTGCTATATCTGAAAGCTTCTATTTTCTTCATGTTTTCCAATTTGATGTCAAAATATTGTGCTGTGCCTGAAGAAACAAAGGAGTTAATTTTTTATTAAACTCCTGTGTATTTAGGGCTGCAGACATCTCCCTGTCCCATTTGGCAAGCAGAGTAGGTGGGAACTCTGTGACTTCTCCCTGCTTTCAGCTCCTTAGATCCCAGATGGTGAGAAAGCAGCACTGTCAAAGGAAGTAAAAAAGGAATATGGGCAAAATTAGGAAGTGCAATGCTGAGAAGTCAAGCCTCAACTCATCAGACATTTTGACACTCGTCAAGCCTTGACCAGCAAACAGGAATTTAAACCTGCCTCAGTTTGAACTACTGTTTTCTTTTTAGCGAGTCTAGCTGTCTTCTAATGCAAACTCAACCTTTTTTTCTGTACCTAGAATTAATCCTGGAGGTCACAATATAAGTCAGGGTTCTTATTTAGCACTGTCTTCTCAGAGCATCTCTTTGTATTGGTGGCTGAAGTCTAAGAACCGTGACAAGTGTGAAGGTTGTAGGAGGCAGCAGCTGGACAATCACAGCGGGAAGGCTCAAAGTTTTAGAATTAATTTAGACTCCACATTAAATAAGTGTTTAGTTGAAACTGCTGTGAGAAAACATGAAAGAGTATTTCACTTACACATGTGCCTCTCAAGTTTTAAAAACCTCTTTGGAACTTAATGCTAACTTACATTATATTTATGATGCAAAATGATGAATAATGGCTTAAATCTCAGAAGAAACAGTGCTGTCTGTTAATCTGGTATTCAAAAACATACAAACAAAGCAAAACCAAAACAGTCCTCACAGTGTCTTCCATCATAAATTGCTGTAGCTGTTTTCTCATGCTTTCGCTTACTTGACCAATAACTAACTGTATGCTCTTTAAAAAAAAAAAAAAAAAAATATATAGATAAAAAAAGCTTATTTATTTGCATATGTTGGTGCACAAAAAGACTGTATTGAGCTACCATCTACTGATGAGCTGCAAATAAACATTTTATTTTGTCCACGCTAATACAGCTTCTTATTTTGAAGGCATGCTATAAAGTTCTGGTAAAAAAAAAAAAAAAAAAAAAGGCAAAGCAAATTAAAAAATCCCACTTAAATTGAAGCATAACTTAAATATTGTGTTGTTTTTGTTTTTGTTTTTTTTTTAAGGTAGGTAATGATTGTTTAAGATTTTATCAAACATCTGAATTGCTTGTCAGAGAAAAAAATGTGGTTAGGAGCATGCAATTGCTACCAGGTTTTTTTCAGGTTCAGGAAAAAAACGTTTTACATGCTTGCAAGGTAACGCTCACTCAGTGGCTTGCATGGAAGTGCTCTAGTTTGCAAAAGGACATAATGAGCAGCTAGTGAGGATCATTTTCCTAGCTGCCAAAGGGTTTTGCAGCATTGTAATGACTGCCATACTATTGTCAAGCTGTCATGGACTAAATGAAGGGTTTGAAGTATGTTTGGTGGGTTCGTGGGTAGCTGGGGTTTTTTTTGGATGTTCAATAAGTGCTGGCTTTTTCCTGTAACACCAAAACACAAAATGTGAAATGTAACTAGATATGTTTGGCTATGTGCAATAGTTTTGAATGCGAGACCTAAAAAGGAGGAGGGCTGACATTTTTTCCAAGAGGATCACATCAGCTAACTTGAGACTGAATTTCTACCCAGGACAACTGAGGTACCCAAGATCCTTATAAGGTCTTCTGTTGAAGAGCCCTCTTGGCCTCTCCCAGAGTTACAAAGTGGTGGATGATGTAGAAACGGTCATCTAATTAAGACCTTTTTACAGTTGATCCCTAATAAGCATTTGTAAGAGTTTAGGCCATAGTTTAGGCACTTAATGTCATATTCTTTTGCTGAAGTACAGAGCACTAATGGTTTCAGCTGAAGACAGTGCTGCTGTTTGTTATTTATTAAAAGTGGAATAAAAAGAAGTTTGGAGAATTAGATTTTAGGTATATAAAATCACCCAAATAATTTATGGATGTGTTGGTATGTGAAGATTAGACTTTTAGTGTTTAACTGTCATATATGTAAAATTTTAGATTTTCATCTTAAAATACATTATGACACCTGTTCTCAAGAGCATTAGAATGTATATCATGTAGAAGCCTTCAGAGCAGTAAGAAGTTTGCTGTATTAAAGTTCAAGGCTATGCATTTCACGACTGATTATCCATGAGATAAAGGTATCCATGGGATAAAAGTAGCATTTGATCACGTAATTGTTATGTCTAGTGCTTCCTAGTTTTGAACACTTTGTTTTGCAATGCTACTAGCATTAATTCTATATGTGACTTAAGTGTAGCATGCACAATTTTTTCTTTTTAATGCATGGCTCATTCAGCAGTAGATAATTGCCTGGTTTGCATGGAAAGGGAATAATCCACAGACCATAAATCTTGAGGAACTGTTAGATAGCCTTCTATTAGTACTACTTTGTAGAAGATCTGTGCAAATTGGTGAATGCTACAGAGTCTTCCAAAGTGATCAGTGGATTTGACAAAAAAGATCTAAGTATGAACGTGAACTTAGGGCAAGTAAGGACATAAGTTTGTAACTGCTTCTGTAACTTGTGAATTGGTTTCCCACACAGTGGTGCATAAATTTGCAGTAGAGATGGAACCTGTATATACAGTAGAAGTATAGATAGGATGCCTGTCACCTCTGCTTCACTGATACTGTTAGGCTTGGGTACATAGGCCACTGAGCAATCACTTCTTAGCAATATTTAGTCTTTACATTTCAGTATTTGTTCTGATCTAATTTTGCTGTTACCTCTCTGATACTATATTGTTTTTTCTCTGTTCTGTACTATTTGACATGCAATTCTAAATTGCATACTGAAACAATTTGGTTCATAGTGTTTCAGCTGCTGCTGAAGATACTTCTGGCAATCTGTTTATTACATTTGTATCAGTAGTCTGATCAATATATTGAGTCCAACTATGTTTTCTGTTCCAAAATAACCTCTTTAAAAACAATCACCTGCCATGTGGAATGTTAGTATTTGATTTTTTTAATTTTTTTTTTACCAACTAAAATTTCCTTGGAAATAAATTTTCCGTTTATCAAATTAAGTTCTTACAGGGTTTCTTGGACTTTCCTAAGCACACACCAGAAATTGAACTGAAAATACGTAAATCCGAGATATCGAAAAGAACTTCTGATATTAATCTGCATTTGCTAATCTATTCCAAAGTCCATGTAATGTCAAGACAGTGATCTGTGCATTAGTAAATTTTCATTCTAAGAACTTTAACTTTACAGGATGATGAGTTATTACATCAGCATTTATTTACTGTGTAACTGTGCCCCTGAGTGCAGAAGTGCATGCAGCATGCATCTTTGCAGTGGGAAGCCTGCTAGTTTTCCTGATTATTTGGCTAAAGGGGGAGGTGCACAGAAATAAGTAATTTTACTATTCAAGTCTTGATTATTTTAAAAGCTTTCTTTAACTGCCAGCATCTAAAAGCAGAGAATAGTGATTATTGTTTTTTCCCCCAGCAATACTCTTTTGGGAGGACCATATGGATAAAAGGATAAGGAGAAAAATAAATGACACATCACCTTTAGTAGACTGTATGGTACAATGATTTTACAAGTTATTTCTTTACAGAAAATGGAAATGTGTTTTGAAGTGATTTAAAGTACAGCAACAGCTAAATAGCATGTAAACAAAATACAGAGCATGACTATAGAAAGTGCCTAAAACTGTTCTTAAAACTTCTGTGGAGATTAAAATTATACTGATAAAAATTAAATTTGTTTGTGTAGAGAAAAGGTATAATATGGGAAGCCAGTGTTCCTGCTGTTGAAAAGTTAGCTTTAACGCTTAAATAGTCTTTGAAAACCTGATTTGAAGTTGAGGATAGACTAATTAGAGTGGTGTTAGATTGCCTTTCTTGCTTTTCAAAAGCAAAGCAGTGTTGCATGGCTTATACAGACTACTATAGGATTTGATTTGTTTTACCCTGTCAGTGGAGTTAGTGTATATGCTTAACATCTATTGACTGGAAACTGAGAGTTGAATGTCATAGATACTGGTGGTGTAACACGAGTGTGACCTACATGTGACTTATGAAACGACTGAAGAAACTTTTTTTTTTCAATTACCAATATGAAATCCAGTCTAAAGTAAAAGGAGTTTTGTTATAAAGGTACCTAGTTTGACTTACATGGAGATGTCTTTTTTTTTTTTCTCCTTCTTTTTTTGAGTTCTCCAGTATAAAATGACAAGAAGAGAAAGAAATGAAGGAGGGGGGTGGGCATGAGAAACACGAATTAGCATAGGGAAAAGAGAACAGTAAGGTGACTGTTAAAAATGCAGATGGAAAGGTTTAGTTCTGTTTTTTACAGGGTGCTGGCAACTTAAGCTGATAATAGCTAGAATGTATCCAATTTTGAGTAGCATAATGCGGTTTGGCACCATACCATCCTTCTGATGATAAGGAATGTGTTTTGCAGTATGTTATCCAGGAAAGGGAATGTATGTTGCTGTCAGATTGAGTGATATGTATCCACTTCATGGGACATTTTAGAAAGTATACCAGCAAACCAGCTCCTGATACAGTGAACTAATGGCATGTTCCTGAAATATTAAGCCCATTGCAGTTATGTTTTTTTTTTCTTTTACATGTTAAGTGACAAACAAGAAACCAGCTCAAGCATCTATTACGAAGGTGAAGCAGTTTGAAGGCCACACATCTTTTGTCAGGAGAACACAGTGGATGCTTGAGCAGCTTCGCCAGGTCAATGGTATAGACCCTAATCGGGTGAGTTTGAACAGTTCTTAAGGATGAAAACTGACTTCTTTTATAACTGATTTGTGAATCGCATTCTTTCACTATTCAGAGAGCATCTGGAAAGATAAGATACAGGTTTAAGTGCAAATTCTCAAAAAAGAAATGTCACTGGAGTGTATGAAGTAGATTTTAATGGGAAAGATGAGAGGAGGCCAAGGCTTATAGTCATGGACTTTTTTGTTCTTGTCTTTCCTTGCTTTTCTTCCTGCTGTCTTTATGAAGAGAAAAATAAGAGCCTTGTTTGCCTTGTCTTTAGCTTATAAGCCTCTTGAGGGTCCATCTTGGCATGCATCTGTGTTGTAAAATAGAGCAGTAAGTAGAAGCAAGGACAGGAGAGGTTATTGGGGTTCAAATTTGTCAAATATTGTGAATCTTACATTTTTTTCTAGGACAGTATTTCTTATCTTTTTCTACAAAAGGTGGTAATGAGGTTTAGTTGCCAATGGTGTGTTAACAGTGATTTAGACAACAACAACAAAAGAAATAAACCACCCCCCTCCCCCCCCAAATTATTCTGGAATTATTCCTTTAATGTGGAATGTACAGCCTGACTTGAGCTGTCTCAAGACAAAGTTGTGCTAATATGTAATAAGCTTTTGAATACAAATTTTAAGTAGTAAAACTACAGAATTAGAAGTTAAGAATCTGGCTTATACTACGTGATCACAAAGTGACTTACTGTGTTTATTGTACAGCAAAATATGTTTGTGACCTAACCCCCTTAGTTCGTTCGAAGCTCTGTGCTGATCAGCCACCTAAGCATCTTGGCAGAACTGCACCAAATTCTGTTACTACCCAGTACTGTCTTTTGTACAGAAAAAGAAGCCCTTTGGCTACAGTCTTATGAAGTGCAAGAGGTGTAATTATATTTTCTGTGGATAAAGGGACAATAAAAATGTGAGCAATGACAGATATATGATTTTTAGGCCCTTTCCTAGCATCTGCTCTGCAGCTGTGTAAATAAAAGATACTTGAGATACTCTCAAATTAAAAGTCCTACAAAGTTCTGAAGCTTAGACATGTTCTTTCAAACTTGTCTTTCTGTCAATTCCTAGTAGCATCGATTCAAAAAAGCATTTACCAGATCAGAGTACAAAACAATATTAAGCTAATAGCATTAAATATATCACATTACTTCTTGCATAGGATCCATTTATTTTCGCAGTTAATGAATGGTATAGACCTGGGTTTTGATTTGTTCTGGGAGTGCTCTTTTGTTCATAAGACTTATACAGCAATTCATGATAATACATTAAATACAATGACTAGCACTTGCTACTTGATTTCCTTTTTTTGGTTGGGCATCAAAAGCAGAAACACATCTGTAAGTGTGAAAGTAGATTTTGTACGAAGAGGCACAAATCCTCGTGTAATCTAGAAGACACAAGTAACTATGTATCTGTAGGTAACAAAGGTTTCTTATGAGATTGCAACTTTTAAATTTGTTTTCAGGTATTTTTGTAATGGGTTAATACTCCTCATTAAAAATAGGTGCTAGGAAAAAGAAACCTTCCTGCCTCTTTTTTGGTTTTGGGTTGGTTGGGGTTTTGGTTTTTTTTTTTTTTTTTGGTTGTTGTGTTGTGTTTGTTTTTGTTTGTTTGTTTTTTTGGTTTTTTTTTTTTTTTTGGGGAGGGGGGTGTTTTGGTTGGGTGGTTTGGGTTTGGGGCTTTGGTTTTTTTAATGCAAAAATATGTAAAGGAAAAATAATCCCAGGGTGGTCTTGAGTTGCATAACCTTTCTGGTTTTTTTCCAGCACAACACCTTTTAAAAAAGTAATAGTTCTATATCTTTTTTCAAGTAATTTATAAAACTGGAATAATAGTAGTGTGTGGGTTTTTTTTTCTTCTAGGATTCCCCAGAATTTGATTTACTATTTGAAAATGCTTTTGACCAATGGGTAGCAAGCACAGCTTCAGAAAAGTGCACATTCTTTCAGGTTCTACATCACACTTGTCAGAGATACCTTACAGACAAGAAACCAGAATTTATCAACTGTCAATCTAAAATTATGGGAGGTAAGTCAGTTGGAGCTGGAGTGCTTTGTACAGTTGGACACAAAATTCTTTGTATGTGAGTTGTTCTGTGTTCAAATGAGCTTGCAGCCTAATTACATCTTGAAATCCTGGGTCTGAATATGCTAACTTCACAGTAGTAAACTTTGAGGCTTCAGCATTTCTCCATCAAGCACCACTTCACACTCTTCTGCTATATTTGCTTCCCTGGTCTTCAGTTCTAGAGGCAACATCCCCTGCCCACCCTGTGAGAAGTCATTCTTCTCCCTCTCATCAGCAGCTTTGATTTCAATTTGTCTCTCTCTCTATATATTTGGCTCAGAATAATTTTTTGTTGGCCTGAAGTATTTCCTACTAAAAGCCTGTTTTGCATTGGCATTTCCTCACAAGTCTGTGAAAAAAATGGTTATTACTAATCTTCCCATAGGATTTTTTTAATTTACTTTGATCTTGATAGAAACTAGTTAGTTTAGAGCTTGGTTAGGTTTCATAAGTCACATATCTTAAGGTGAATTTCCAGGATTAGACCAAAAAATATCTGGTTAGGTTAAAAAAAAGTCTGGCGTTTATGTGAAATTAGTATTTATCATCCACTTATTTAACAACAAAAGCTGTTTGGGGGGAGGATTCTCCTGTATTTCACAAGGTATTCTTTAAGAAAATAAACTTTTTTAGTTGTTCTCTTAGCCTCAAATTTCTGAAAATAGACTCCTTTTTGTCCACTGTAAAACAGTATACATATTAAAACTGTTGCACCTCCTGTGTTCTTCACAGCTGGAATAAAAAATTGTTTTTCTCTTGCTCAGTGAGTCTCCAAACTGTAAAAGAGAAGTGACTTGGGGGTTTGTTTAGTTGCTGTTTCTTCCCTCCAACAGACATCAGTAATAAATACGAAGAGCCTAAGTCAATTCTTTCTGGCAGTTCTCCTCTTTCATAAATCTAGAAGGTTTCTGTATGCTAGTAGCAGAGCTATATTTTGTGCAGCCACTTTCATATGTTTTTTCTTCTGGCTCTTTGTCTTCCATCCCCTTCCTTTAAAACACCAAAGGTAAACTTGAGGAAGGGGGAAGTCATCTTGTTTGGTGCTTACATTCTAGCTACTGACACTGAGGTTACCACTTTGTGGTCAAAGTAAGAACTGTTCTGTCAATGGTCTTTCTCATTTAGTGTCTTCTCAAACTAAGAAAAAAGGCACAAAATTTCTTGTAAAATTTTTCATTTGTTTTTCCCCCTTCCACATTAGTAGAATTTGCTTTGGCTTTCTTTTTGTTGTGTGTGGGGAAGAGGTAGGAGCAATTTCTGCTCTGATGGCAGAAGGTATCTTCTACAACTTTTTTATTTCATATGGAAGAAAGCTCATATCAAGCCTTTGTTTGTCATGTGTTTATTACTGATGCTGTCATCCTTCCTGCTAGTAAGTCAGTATTCATAAACCTTAACACATTTCAGTCTCTGAAATTATTTTATTTTCATAAGCTTGACCTGTCCAAAACCAAGTTCCTGATTCAACTGACCCAAATATTAACAAGTGTCCTCACAGTGGGGAGGGGAAAGAAAAGAGAAAGCTACCAAAAACAAAAGTCCTCTTTAACAAATAACCAGAATCAATAATTATAACAGGCTGTGCAATCATGGTATTGGGAATTGTCTTGTAATATGGAAGGTGCACTAGTCTGTTTAAATGTCTGCTTTTTCTGTCAATATTCATATTGGTATTCTTAATGCAATGTCAAGTTTTCTACAAAAATTCTGTGCATATACTATAATTACAAGCTTTTTTGGTGTTTTCGTGCCTGCAGATAAATTTCTTATCCAGTTCCACAAGCATAGTTCTAGCATCCATGGTGATGTTTCTTGAAAATACAGATAATTATGGAAAAATAGATGAAATTAGCATTTCAGACTAAATTTGAGTTGTGGAAAAATTTTCCACTATGTTGTTTAGCATTTTTCCTAGTGTTCTGGTATACATGGGAATATATTTCACTAATATTTCCATCCTTGTTGAAAGCTTTTGGATTACTTTATATTTAAGTGTATTACCTAGCGGAGCTGTGCTTCCTCCACTGTTTAAAAATAACTTACTCTCATAGCAACTTTGAAGTATCTCCCAGTTAAAGGCAGATCCCGTTGGTAATACATAATACTGTGAAGTTAGTTCAGTCACTGGGTTATGTTAGTTCATCTGTTACTGTGAGGCAAATGAAGCAATTAAATGATGAGAAGTGGCGTCATTCATTGACTTAGAAGCTGTTCTGCAGTTTGGTGAGTGGAAGGCTCAGACACTGGGGAGATTCTGTTCTGCTAGTCCCCATTTGAAGCCCAGGGATGGCCCAACTGTGTATCAAAATCCACGTAGTCTGAAACCTGCAGTATCACCTTTTTTTTTTTTTTGGAAAATACAGTAAAATGTGCTGTCGATCTCACCACATGTGAGGGTGTGAAAAGTAATATTCTTTTTGGGTGGTTAGTCAGTTTAACTTCTAATAACCTGCAAGTATTTTTAAAATAAATTATTAGAATAGATGCTTACATCTACATCCCTGTGTACGTAATGATGTAGATACGTACAAATGCATATTTAAAAAAAAAAAATAAAGCCAGTGAAGAACACTTCTGAAGATGAAAGAATTTGAAGGGCTTGTTTACAAGCTTCCTTATCTTATTGAGCCTTATTCCTTCCTGAAGGATAGGAGTGAAGAAAGTGAAATTCGTGCTGTTCCTGTTTCTACAGGAAGCGCTTAAGAGCTTAGCTGTAAGTAAATATGGGTGTCCCTGTGGAACTGCAGCCCCTTTTCATTGCCTTCCTCCTTTTACCTACATGCACACTCTTCCCTCTGCAGGCCAGAGCTCTACCCCTTATTCTTCTCCAAAACCACTTTTTGCTTTATTTTTGTTTTAATATCATGTAAGGATATACTCTGAGGAGTTAAATAGACTAGACTGTTTTCCTTAACTTGATTAATGACATTAGTAATTATAGGGGTAATTAGAACTGATTAAAGGTGTGGGTGCTAATTCTGATAATAAAGAACAAATTCAAATTTAGGGAGCTGGTAGCAAGATTCTTCCCACTAGTATCTTGTACTAAATATTTCAAGTTTACCTTTTGTGTAGAATTTAGAAGAGCCCTCTTTATAGCGTACGTACATCCTGGATGTTCTTTTAGAGAGGAAAGGCAGAGTAGAAGGTTTTCTGATTGAGGTAGGAAATATTTTCCACTTTTGTACCTTCATAACATACAGGTTCTGATGCTGGATTGTGTAATTTGGAATATCTTTGTGTTATGCTAATTGTTATTCGATGGCCAAGATAATCAGATTGTATTGCTTTTACATCAGTAATGTAAAAAAGTTGGAGATTGGTGCTGTGCAGAAATTTTGTCATCTACGGGTTGTGTTCTCTAGAACAACAGTTCTTAATGTTAGGTTGACACTGAGGATTAAGCTAACTATCATTTCTGGATAGAACCCCTTTGAAGCTCTTCAGAGATTAATTTTGGGCCTATAAGAATAAACAGTTGCTGCTGCATTTAGGTACATATTAGAAAAGCATAATCCTGAGGAAGGAGCAAGCCCTCAGGATGAAGGAAGATGATGATCTTGTGATTTTTTTTTTTTGGTTGTTGTTTATTTTTTTGTTTTAAGCTTTGTCCTACCTGTATGCCTTGGTTTTAACAATCATTCTGATGAATTATTTCAATTCAAATATTCTTAGAAGCCCCAAAGTAATGATGTCTTTGCCTCTGACTTTTTCTCTAGGACAGCTGGCAGGAGTTATTAATGAATCATTCTTTTTTTCTCCTCTAAGAATATATTGTCAGCGTGAGCATGGTAATGAGTGCTTCTCGTTTTTTCATACAAATATGTGCAAATTCATGATTCAATGGAGATGAACCAAAAGTTGCTGTTAGAAATTAGGATGGGAAGAAGGACGATTGCTCCCCTCCCTCCCGTCAAATACCTGGTAGTTAGTTCTTACCTGATAGCCATTTAAAAAAGGGTTTAATTCAACAAATTATTCTTGCAGACTTCAACTTGTAAATTAATTCTGCTGAATTTGACCCAAAAAAAAAAATATACTAAGTATTTGCCATGTTATTTTGGTGGTGTTTTGCCATTTTGAAATTACCTATCAAGAAGAATCTTAGCAATGTACAGAAACAAGAAATTTTTTTTGCATTTGATTAAAATATTTCTTGCCAATATATACCAATTATTCAGTTTTTAGTGTTAGAGAAAAATAAAGGCCATTGTCACTCAGAGACTGAAATATTAGAAATAAATTTGCTGCTGCCAAAGAGCACTTCGGGTGCTTGCTTTTATGATGTGCACATGCATGTCAGGATTGATTCTGCCTCACCTTTTTTCCTTTTATGTTACATTTTTTCCTTTTGTTTAAGTTTTTGTTTGATTTTAGTTATCTTAGGCATAATAGCCATGTGATGAGACCAGAATGGATAAGAGTAGTTGAGTGGTTGTTCAACAGAAATATTGCCTATAATCAGAGCTCTAAATTAACTTTCTAAAATGGGGATCTTGGCCAAAAATATACATTATGTTTCTGTAAAATCTGTAGGGGCAGGTAAAACAAGAAGGGATGTTTATCATTGCAAAGTTTGGTTCCTTTTTGATTTGTATAACTCTGAGACGAGAAACTATAGAAAGCATTAAGCAATATAGTTTCTTGCCCTTTCTGAAGAATGAAGGTGTGAGGTGTTCAAGATGCAGACTAATTTTTATGTGGAATTATCAGATTTTTATGTTTACAGAGACAGAATAGAATTCTGTGCTATTGTAGTAATTGTTGATTCTGAAAGTTCCTGATTGCTTAGAATTTCAATAAGTACAAATATTAGTTAATGTTGAAAATATTACTAACTCTAGGTTAGTATTGATTTTTTATAAGTGTATTACATTAAAGTTTTCAAGTTGAAATAAATTTCTCAACTTGGAAAAAGGCAAAATGGTGATAATATAAAATAGATTCTAATTAGATATTTC